CGGCGGAGCACCAACACCAACTACAGGAACAAAGACATCCCCAACCACGAGAAGAACCGCCACAACCCCCGGAACACTCGAGAGGAGAACCACCGCCACAACCCCCGGAACACTCGATAGGAGAAGCACTTCTGGTAGCGGCGGGCCGACAAGTCCTGAGCGGAGAAGCTCAGCCTTTCCCGGAGCAGCCAGGAAACCGGCTGCCCTTCCTGCAGGACTGAACGCACACAGGTCCCGCGGGTCGCTCAGCACACCCAGTATCACTGGACGCAGCTCAGTCAGCAGTCTTCGTGACTCCACAACAAGCCCCAGGCCGCCCAGTGCAAACGGCAGACCCGAAAGCTCAGCCGGTGCAAGACCATCTTCGTCAAGGAAGGCGGCCAGCAACACAATCGCCGGAAAGCTTGTTTCCGGCGCTGCTAGCCTGCGTGCAAGGCCAAGTTCCGGGGGTCTCAGCTCTACTGTATTGGCTGAAAAGGAGAAGGAGCTCGAGACGCTCCGGGCAAAAGTTACCGAGCTGGAAGAGCAAAATAAAAACATTGTCGAAGAGCTTGTCAAGGCAAAGGACGAAAGTGAGGCTGTATCACCTGAGAAGACCGCCGAAGCTGCGGTTGCCCTTGCGGAGCTGGATGCGGCGACGGAGAAGTTGACTAAGGCACTCGAAGAGGTGGATGAGCTGCGAGCGAGGATTGCAAACCTTGAGGAGACGGTATGGTTTCACATGATTGAGATAATAATAATGATATATCGTGGTTCTGATAGTTCTTGTAGATTGCACAGCTTAGGGCAGAGAGCACCACTGCACAGGAAAATAACGCCAAGCTTGCGTCGGCGATGCAGCTGGAGGCTGACACTGTCAAGAACGCATCAGAGGCCATTGGTGTCAAGCATAAGGAGGAGATTCAATCCCTGCATCACAAGTTTGAGGTCAAAGAGACCCAATTCCTTGAGAAGATCGGCGGTCTTGAAAAGACCATTGAGGGCTTGAAGAGCGAGCATGCTGAGGAGGTTACAAAACTCACCAAGCAGGTCGAAGAGGTAAGAATCAAAGTAGAGTGTAGATGAATTGCTACTAACATGGTCACGGCAGGCCGTTGAATCTGTAAAATCAAAGGCCGCCTCCGAAAGTGGTGATCTTCAACAGGCTCTTGATACCCAGAAGGAAGCCCACACCAAAGCTCTTGAGGCGCTCACAATTGCCCTTGCCGCCGAGAAAGACGCTTCTGCACAGGGCGCGGCGGACTCCGAGAGTATCATGAGGAAGCGCAATGAGGAACTCGCGGCCCTGAAGAAGTGCCTCGAGGAATCAGACGATGCCTTCATGCAAGCCCAGGAGAAAGCTAACGAGGCACTCGAGGCCCGCGAACGCGAGGTTGATGACCTTAACAGTGCCGTCAAGGCTCTTCAAGTCGAAATCGAGAAGCTTGCAAGTGAAAAGGCGACTGAGTTGCAGGAGAAGATCAAGGAGCTTAACGAGCAGCATGAAGCCCGCATCAAGGAAGCTCACGCTAAGGCTGAGAAGATTGCCGAGGATGCGAACGCCAAGATTGAGGCTCTGACCAAGGAGCATCAGGAACAGCTTGAGGCCGGTTCCGGCGCTCTTGCTGCCCAGCTTTCTGAGGCCAAGACTGCCGCTGAGGCCAGGGAGCAGGAGCTTCTGGAGCAGGTTGAAGCCGCTCAGCAGGAGTCTGCTGATGCTATTGAGGCCGCCCAGAAGACCGAAAAGGAACTCCTCGAACAGGTTGAGGCTGCTCAAAAGCAATCCGCCGAAGCCATTGAGGCTGCCGAGAAGAATGAAAAGGAGCTTCTCGAGCAGATTGAGATTGCCCACAAGGAATCTGCTGCGGCAATCGAGGCTGCTCAGGCGGAAGCAGTAGAGAAGGTCGAAATCGTCAAGAACGAGAGTGAGAACCTGAAGAAAGAGTATGAGGAGAAGCTTGTAGAGCTCCAGAACCAGATTACTGGGTCCGCGGACGAGAAAGATAAGGAGTGGCAGAGCAAGATTGAGCAGCTCAAGAGCGTTCATGGAGAGCAAATCAATGCGCTTACAGTCAAGCTTGAGGCGTCTCGGAAGGAGACCGAAGAGTTGTTGGCAACCGTCAAGTCAGTTAAGCAGGAGGCCAGTCAACGCCTCGAAGCGGAAATCGAGAAGGGCCAATCTGAATCCAATATCTTGAAGAAGACCCTCGACACATTGAACAGCGACCTCATGGTTTGTTCTCTTAATATAGTAATGTATGATATTTATTGGATGCTGACAGCCCCCCACAGGACAAGGAAGAACAGCTCGCAAAGTTCAAGACCGATCTTGAAAAGAACGTCGAGAGCCTGGCTGCAAAGGCCGCGGTATGGATCTCGGTTGTTTCTCTCCGTTTTCTGGGCAGGATTGTTTACGATCATTACAGGAAATCGCCGAGCTCAAGGAGAAGCATGTCGCTACTATTGAATCTCTTAACGCCGAGCATGCAACTGAAATCGACACTCTTCAGAAGTCGCACGCTGCTGGGAGTGAGGAGAAATATGCTACTCTTAATGCCAAGTATGATGAACTAGTCCAGGAACACGCAGCCGCGACCGAGGAACACGCAGCCGCGACCGAGGACCACCAGACCGAGTTGGAGACTATGATTGCGGAGAACAAAACTGAGATCGAGAGGCTTACGGAGGAGCTCAAGAATTCCGAAGAGGAGGCGCTTATACAACTTGAGGAGAGCCACGCCGAAGTTGTCGCCCACCTCGAGGATGAGATTACTGATTTGGAGAAGGCAAAGTCAGAGCTCCAGGCTGCTCTTGAGGCCGCACCGGCTCAGGATGATCTCGAGAAGCTCAAGGCTGAGTTCGCCGAGGAGAAGGGAGAATCTGTGGAGCAAATCCAGAAACTTAAGGAATCTCTCGAGACCCAAATCACAGCGAAGGTGGCCCTGGAAAAGGAGCTCGACAAGTCAAAGGCCGATAAAGAGGAACTCGGCAAACAGCTCGCCAGCATCCAGGAGGATATGGACACATTTAAGGCTAGCAAGAATGCTCTCCAAGCTAATGCCATTGACTTGCAGTCCCAACTCGAGGAGCTTACCGAGAGGTCCGCTGCTGATGTCGAATCGTTCAAGAAGCAGATAGAAGAGATGCACGAGCGCGCCAACAATGATGCTACAACTCTTGAGCAAATCTACACTGCACAGATCAACGACCTTGAGTCTAGGGTAAACAGTTTGAAGGAGAAGCTTGCCGCCGCTGAGGCAGGAAACAAGGATGCTGGTTCAAGTCTCCAGGAGCTCGAGAATGCCAAGAAAGAGAAGGAAGCTGCATTTGCTCAAGCTGTCAAGGAGCTTGAAGGGAAGGAGGCGGTTATTGCCGCCATGGAGAAGGAATTGGAAGATCTTAAGGCCGAGAAGGAGGATGCTGTTGACGCTGCTAATGCTGAAAAGGAAGCCGCGATTGAGGCTGCTAAACTAGATTCAGTTGCCGCTCTTGAGGCCGTTGAGAAGAAGCTTGAGACAACCAGGACTGAGCTCGAAACTGCTTTGGCTGATGTTGCTAAGGAAATGGTTTCCCTCCAGGCTACTGCTCAGGAGAAGGAGACCGCTCTCGAGAGCACTACTAGGCATAACGCAGAACTAGATCTCGCCCTTGAAACCGCTAATAAGCAGAATTCTGAGCTTAAAGGTGACCTCCAGGTTTTCAATGAGAAGCTTGCACGCATCGCAGAGGCTCTCAGACTTAAGGAAAGTGCCCTGGAAGACACAACTAAGTCAGCTGAAGACAAGGAAGCCGCTCTTGCAAAGGCTCTCAAGGAGGCACAGGAGGGGGCAACTGCTCTTAAAAAGGCCGAGGAACTTGAGATGTCGTTGAAGGAGAAATTGGCCCTTGCCCAAGCTCTTGTAAGTGAGAAGGAAGCCGCTATAGTCAACATCACCAAAGAAGCTGCCGCCAGGCGCAGTGTTCTTGAAGCCGAACTCGCTGAGAAGGAACTCGCATTGAAGTCGAAGGAAGAGGTGAGCACAGAAGATGAACCCGATCTGGTGGAAGACGAAGAAGGCGCCGAGGATAGCGCCGAAGAATATATGGAAGTTAAGCATATCTCTGTAACAGGAATTGTCAGCCACCCACTCTCCCGCTGATGTGAGTCTTTGTCGGGAATCTTGAGAGAGTATTGAGGCTAAAGGTTTATAGATAACCGGGCTCCGCGCGCAACTCAACGAACTCGAAAATGAGAATGAAGACCTCAGGAGGGAAACGAACAGGTGTGTATATCATTCGGCGCCCCATTTATTGTGCATTTTTTGCGATTAGTGTACCCCCCCATCCCTCCCCTACTCCTCATGCATGCAGAGATGCGAAGCGGGGTATGTTTAGAATGTTTTTCTTACGGCGTCATGTTGTGCTGATCAAGTTCTCATGGTAAACGTTGGGGGTGGTTCTTACAGAGTCCTCAAATCGATCGAAAACCTTCCGCTCGAACGTCGAACGGCGACATCCGTCCCAAGATTGGAGATCGTCGAGACAGTATAGATTGAAGCCAGGCCCATAAAGGGAGCTTTAGAGGAGAACCAGGGGTTCTTCGTCGCCGTGAGGTTGGGAAACTAAAGATTTTCCGGTTTATTTTCTTCGTAATGTTCGTGCTGGGATTGATGCTATTTTCTCTTTTTACTTCACATTTCGGGAGTGAAGTATAGCTTTCTTTTACTTCCCCTTTTTTTTTACGATTTTCTTAATCTTGCAACCTCACCCCTCATCCTTTCACGACTTTTTTTCTTTCACGGAGGGGGAAAACCTTCACTACTTTTTTCTAGTATCTATTTTCCTGGTGTAATTACGATTTTCCTTGGTGTTTTTCCCTACGTTTTTTTCTCTCTCGATTCGCTGTGGAGTCAAAAAAAAATCTGTAAGTGGGTTGGATGTTAGAAGAAGAAATGACGCCAATAATGTTTAGAAGTTGAATTCACGCTTGGCGGCTATTTATAACTTGTACTTGGATGTGCTAGGTTGCATTGAATACTACAGCCCGGTTAGCTCAGTGGTAGAGCGTGTGGCTTTTACGGGGTTAAATCCGGAAAAGCATACCTCAATGTCGCGGGTTCGACCCCCGCATCGGGCTCTCATCAAAACTTTTTTCGTTCCTATCCATATGGGGCGGACCTGAAGAAAGTAGATAGGTTTTGCCGTTGTGTGTACAACTGTGTAACAGCCTTGCCAGGTTAAATGTGCTGTGTCATACTGAATTCCCCGGATGTCCACCGCGGTGGTAGACAGTTGTGCTTCCCAACTTTCTCGCCTTCCTCGGATTCCTCGCGGATCATGCATCCTTATGTCCTAAGTCTGAACAATTGCCTTGCCATTTTGCCTATCCTTGCAAATAATCGTGTTTCTACCAGCCCACTGATTGGCCCTCCAGTTCCTCTTCTTTTCATGTAACTATATGTATGTAGCCGTTGACAAGCCCCCAGCTAAACTATGTATGTATGTACCTACACAAACAAACTTAATTTTTTGAGTTTGCGGCACATACATGTAACCTGGGGGGGAGGGGGGGGCGAGGAATCATATATATATTACCACGCCCTCTTTTTTTCTTTGAAACTGGGGGGGCTAGATTTGACTTTCTCGGTTCCGGGCGGGTGCTGTGCGATCGATGTTGCGCCCCTCCCGTTTCCCCGGGGGGGGGGGGGGGGGGGGTTAGTTGGTGGTAGCTACGAGTGAGCGTTTGTGGTTGAGGCGGGTATGGCCGGAGCCGGGGGGGGGGGGATGTAGGTATACGAATGTAGACGAGACGCCAGACTGCCGCTGTTGCTGCTATTGACCCCCCCCCCCCCCAGAGAGCTTGCCGTCATAATAGATAATAGTATCACGGAGAGTGTGCGGTGAGTCTGTAGATAGGAGAATCAGCAAAGCACATCTGTTCATTGACAGAGAGGCGAGGAGTTACTGGCTGGCTGGCTGGCTGGCGGTGACGTAGCTTGCAGCAGCGGGCGGGCGAGAGAGCACAGCTTACTACATACATGTAGTAGGGGATGTAAGACTATACACATACATCATGGAGACTTACGTGTGTGCGGCAGATTCCCACGCTCGGGTTGTTCGAGGAGGAGGGGGAGGAGGAGGAGGAGGAGGAGGAGGAGGAGCAGGAGGAGGAAGAAGACGGCGAGGCAATCATGTTGTATCACTCGCCCTGTGTTCTGCGGGGTGTTTTGATGGCGGTGGACATACACATTGACAGACAGACGGTCACCCGCCCACTCCCCCATGCGTCCCTGGTCCTCCTAAGTACACGTATGTAGGATGCCCGTCTAGCTTCTACTACAACTACTACTTGCAACCCACTTGTTACGAGTCTAGCCCCAACCACAGGAAGATGCAGCCCCCGCGCCCTGACCATACTCTATTCTGCGCGGGAAAAGGCCGAGGGCGAACACACTGGGCGAAGACGAACCACGGCTTTCATTCAATATGCACATCGTTGTTCCCTGGTCCTCTACACCAAGTGGTTCGTCCTCACGCCCCCCCCCCCCCCTGTGAACGACTGTAGGCCACCCTAATTTCTGCCTGCTTGCTCGGAGGTCATACTACATCACTCGATCGATCGATGCGTACATAGCACCCACACCCCCCCCCCCCCTCCTTCCCCCCCCATGCTTTCCGGGCAGGTACCCGTCTCTTGAAGTAGATATCACGATCTTTTTCTTTCTTTTCTTTTCTTTTCGTTCGTTCGTTCTTTCTTTCTTCTTCTTCTTCTTTTTTTTTTTGCACATGTATCGGGTAGAGTACATGTAGGTACATACATTACCAGCTTAATTGCCGCTTGAAGATCGACGCTACAGATGTTTGCTCAATCAAGATCTAACGCTTCTAGGTTGGGGGGGGGGGGGGGGGGGGGTGTTGGTGATGTTTCATCCACAGTGTGTAGAGTGCTTGCTCTACTATGGATGTGTGTACGACATGTATTTTGTCTAGGTACATACCAGGGGACGGATGAAGGATGCAACATTCGGGAGGTTGGGTATATGGAGATAATATATAGAGTACACAAGTAACGGTTTCAGATCATCCGTGACCTAGATAGGCCCTGTTGGGGTCGATTGGCAAAAAGGTAAAGCAACCCGTTTCAGTTTCATTCTTTTCTCTTGTTTATACCCAAGACCAGGCATGAAGTGAATCATATCCAATTGAGCCCTCACCCACATGAAGAAGACACAAAAGCAGAAGTGACAAAATCAACGCGTACAAGAAACACCCCATACAAAAAAACACAGAAAAACATACATAAATCCGTTAAATATCAGATCCCAAAAGGTTCCCCGCACAAAATAAAAAAGAGAGTGTGGTAAAGGAAGTATAGAAAAGCATAAACTGGACGCCATGCGATTGATATACATGCAACGTTCCCACCCTCGTGGAAAAGGTTCATGACAACTATGTGCTCATGTATAACTTTCCCTCCAAAATATCAATATTCAACAGAAAAGAACCATTCAAAATAAAACTCCAAACAAATGGAAAACGCGCACTAGAAAGAAAATGAGGGATTGGATGTTGTCATTTCATAAGGACAAACCGATCCCTCTATTAATCCTTCATTCCCAATAATTTGTCCACTTCAATCACATTTCAAAGAAAGAAAAAAAGGACTGTTGAATAGAAAATAAACCCACTCCCAAACGACCAAAAATACCTACCCAGAATCAAATTTAGTCTCAATGAAACTCTATCGATTGGACCCCGACTTTCGTCAGGACGTCCCTAACATCGCTTTCTGCTACCACGACTCCGGTTTCCGAACACTTTGCTTTGTTCCTGAGCTCAGAACATAACGTGTCCATGTCTAACTCCCCATTGGCAAATTTCGGGTGAGAGCTGATGCGGTCCCTACCGTCGTCCCTTTGAGTAAGTCTTAGCTAACAACGACGTTTTTTTTTGGGGGGAATGAGGAACATACCATATCTTGTTACAACTCAGCATCTTCTTTGGATCTTCAGCGGGGACGACCTCATCCTCATCGTCATCATCATCATCATTGTCTCCTCCATTTTCGGCACGGTCGGCTTCCGCTACCAGATCTTTCTTCAGGGCGAACGGTGACTCGATGCCTTCGAAGCTGGTAGTCATCGGGAACGCGTCCTCGAAGAAGCTCATGTTGATTCCGGCGTTGATTTCATTGATGGGGTCTCGGTAGTCGTTGAATAGTACCGGATCGAAATTGCCGCCATTCTGTTGAGTTAGCCAGTCAAGTGAGGTTGGTGTGGGTGCGCTAGAATTGTTGTTGAGCTGGGCCGCCTTCGGGATAGGGTTGTGAGGGTTCCCGCATGCCATTCCTAATTTCTCGCAGAAGGTAATTTCAGTTTCGCCGTCTAAAGGCCCGCTCTTGCAGATGTAGCGGTCCCCGTTTGGAGCGATTGATATCGTACCGTCCTCGGTTGAATTATTCTGTTGATCATTGGATCCATTCAAATTCATTGGTTCAGGGCTTGTTCCACAAGATGAACCAGGCCCATGCTGTGATACTGATGATGCCGAAGGTGATGAGGTGAAATCCCTACTACCACCGTTCAGACGAGGCGTATTTTGTGCACTCGCAGAGTTTCCACTACTATCATTGCTCAAGCCATAATCTGTTATCGCGCCTTCATTAGTTTGGCCGACAATAATACGTATATGAGATCCACTAGGCTCCGAGAAGAAAAGTGGCAACTCACTTGCGAAAATGTCATCGTTTATAGCATTGGTTGATTTGTTCTTATCTTCGCCCTTAGGAGGAGCACTGACACCCGTCCCTGCACTCATCCTTTCGAGTAGGGTGCCAGGTCCCACCTTCACGCCATCTCCGCTACCATGACGCCCGAAAGGAGAACCGATACCACCACCAAACATAGGAAATTCGAACTGGAAGCCACCTGTACTTGCATTTTTTCCAAACAAACCTGGAGCACTTAAAGTTGGTGTACTTTGTGCTTGATGTAATCGTCGCCGATAATCCTTTAATTCCACCTGCAGTCTATCCACCTGGGCTCGAAGAAGGCTATTTTCGTGGTTTGCAGACTCTGATGCCTTCTCCAAATCCGTCACTTTCTGTTCGAGATCCTTCAAGTGCTTCTCCTTACGTTCCCGGAAAGCCCTTTGGGCTGCTCGATTCTGCGCCTTGCGTTTCGACGTAGGTTCTGACGTAAGGGGCTTTCGTCCAGGTTTTTTGGCAGTTGTTCCATCTGATTCTAGCAATAAATTCGACGGTTAGTTGAGTTGCTCAACACCCATCTTATGAACGAACTACTTAGACGCTAATGGTTCTTGGCCGAAGAAAAGTGATCTGACGGCCAAGCCTTCTGGTAGGAAAAAAGAAAATGAAGCATCACTGAGAAAGAAAGTAAATTTGTGAAGAGCGATGCAATTGTGGACAGGAAACAGTTGGGTAAATTGGTATATATATATATTTAAGAAATGAAATTTTATAATGGATTCTTGTGTAAGCAGGAAGAAGGGATGAACCCACCTCTCCTCTTTGGCTCTGCATCATGTGGATCAGAGCTCGGGCTCCCATCATCATTTGACGGTGGGCTTTTCCTTTTATCATTGTCCTGTGACATAGAGCCTGGGGTATCCGAGTAAGTTCCGCTCATACTGTTATCCACGCCATCAAGACCTGTTTCGAAGTCCCAAGGCCCATCGGCGTCCCAATCAGGATAATCTAGGTCCCCACCCATCAGTGGGGTACCATCCGCAAAGCTACCGTTGAGGGCAGCTGTTGGTGGCGGAGTGCCATTTCCATATTGTGAGCTCATTGAATCTGGGGTGCTGTTTTGTGAATTATGCTTTAGGGACTGGGTAACTTGGTTAACAGAAGGACTTGTGAACAACCGTGAGTCAGAGTTTGATTGAAGGGCGCGAAGCAGGAGATCCTGTTGATCGGGATCGAGGTAGAGGCCGTCTGATGATGTTGTGGTCATATCCACTCGTCAAGTAGTTTGGGATGAGGTTTCTGCTATGGGAAATATTTAAATATTTGCAAGATGATCAACTCAATATGTTGAGACGAATGAAATGTACGGCAGAGGCCGGGCGGGTTGTAGTCCGACAAACACAGCAAGTGCTGTGAAGGATATAGGCGCA